CAGCCTTATGGATCCGGTCATGCATTATGGCCGCGATAATCCCCGCGAGGGCGGCCCCCTCGCGCCACGCCGTGGTGTTCGTGTAAGTGTGAGTCTGTGTGTGTGTGTGTGTGTGTGTGTGTGTGTGTGTGTGTGTGTGTTGTGTGTGTGTAAAGGGGAGAGGGGGGGGTTGAAATCACGGTGGGCAGGGCGTGCCGTCATCAGTCGCGAGGAGATTATAAACCCGGGTTGGGTGCCATGCCGCTGCCATTATGCCGCCATACAGTGGCGTGGCTTGTGCGCCCGGCTGCCCTGCGCTGCCCTGCGCTGCCCGCCCCGCTCTATGGCCATTCACTGAGGTGGCCGGCCGGTCACAGTGTTGGGACTGCCGGCCGCCCGGGGCAGCGAACCGGCGAACCCCGGTCGCAGGGCGGAGGGGCCGACGGGGCTTGATGTTGTTCTATCCCCCTACAGTGTCGCGGCGGCGCGCAAACCCGTGCAGAGCGGTGCAGAGTTGTTGTCTCTCTCGTTGCCCGTCCGCCCCGTTTGCGGGGCGGGCCGGGCCGGGCCTTTGGACTTGTATGTGGCGAACACAGTGCCACTTGGGTGCGAGCCTGCAGGGCCTGCAGAGCCTGCAGCAGGGCAGGGCCCCGAGCGACACAAAGCCAAACTAACTAGGTATGAAAAGGGCCGGGCGGGCCGGCCGGCGACGTCACTTATGGCGCCGTGCACACAGCGGCCACTGTGGACACTCCGGCCCTACACTGGTAGGCCCTAAACAGGATGCGGGGCAGGTGACGCTGGTGACGCGCGCGGCCTGCCCCATTCCTCATACTCGACGCGTCGGTGGCGAAAAAGCGGCTCTGCTGCAGTGAGCTCGGCGAGCGCGGAACGGGGCATGTGGTCTTGCCACAGCCATTTGGTGCCCCCCCCCCCTTCCCTCCTTTCCCGGGCGAGGGCCAATGGGAAGATAGATGTGGCGGCGCGCATGTTTGTCAGCGTGATGACGTCACCGCACAATCAAGCGATAAATTGATAATTTCGGTGCTGCTGCTCCGCGCTGCCGACTCGCCCCGTTTCCGGCGCGAGGGGCGGGGCGGGGCGGGGCGGGGCGGGGCGGCGTGACGTCCGACCGGCCGGACGCGTGTGCGGGTTTCGGGGGCAATTTCGGGAAATTGGTGCGACGGAGTTCCCGGGGGATGACCGCCGCGACCGACGAGGTCGGCGAGGGCGGCAAGGGGGCCGCCCATTCCCTGATTCGGGCTAAAGGGATGCGCCGTGCCGCGCCGCGCCGCGCCCTGCAGTGCCCCAGTGCCCCTTGTACCTCGCCATCCCGCAGGGCGTCCCGCCGCGTCCCGCCGGGGCCGTCAAACACATTTCTGTCACCCTGGTCCTGTTTTATTAAAATCAGAAATCTGTTTTTGCTTCCGGCGCGCGCGCGTGCGAAAGTATGTATGTATGTGGGTGTATGTGGGTGTTTGTTTATATGTGTGTATGTGTGACACACACTCTCCGCGCTTAATCCTTTATTTTCCCGACCGGCGAAGTGACCATCCAAAAATAGCCCGGTGTGCTTTTGCGACCGCGCCGCGCCGCGCCCCGCCCCGAGTGGGCCGAGTGGGTCGCGTCCTTGTTCGGTTCTAATTATGGAGGTCGTTGTGCATCCGCAGCATTCGTATTCATCAGGCCGCCTGTAACGTCGCCCCCTTCACGCCCGGACGCCCCCGCGGCCCCGCTCACTTTTTATTTTATTATCATCATTTTTTTGCAACTTTTTTTTCATCATTTCCCTTTCCCCTTTCATTTTACGACCCCCAGAGACGTGTAGTAGCGGCGTCGGGTAAAAGTGCCGTCATCTTTTTATTCCCCCTCCTTCCTCGCTTTTGTCGCGAAATGGCATTAAAAGGGCAGGTAGGAGTGAGGGGTGCTACCGGTAGGTGTGTGGGCCTCGCCCTCGGCCTCGTGGACGACGAGGAGGCGGTGAGCGTGGCGTGGCTCTACTGCCGGGCCACTAGGCCGCCAGGCAGCCAGGGCCGGGGGCTTTGGCTTATCTCGTCACAAGGCCGCAACGCCGCACCCCGCCCCGCCCCGCCCCCACGCGACGCACACCGCGTGCCGCTCGGCCTGGCCGCCGCAAGCACGTCGTCGCCGTGGTCGCGGGGCTCAAGCCGTCCGCCAGCTCGGCGCGGCCACGGCCTCCACCACGGCCTCCACCACGGCGGCCAGAGCCGAACACGTGTCGCCTGCAAGACAAATGAAGCGCGTTGAATCGCCGTGCCTGCACACTGCCTGCATACTGGCCACCCTGCCGGTGCACTGTCGGACGACCAGCTGACGCGCGTCGGCCGCGGCCGCACTGTTAGGGCCGCGCTGGCGCGGAGGCGACGCGGAGGTCGAGGCCGCGGACTATCAATTTCATTATCAATCCATCATCCGGAGGGGAGCGCGTCGCGCGCGTCGCAGTCGAGTGGGTGGTGACGAGACAACTTTGCGGAGCGCGTACTCGCCGGCGATACTCCGCGCCGCGCGTCCACCGCGGGGTATCGCCGTTGCGCGCTGCGCCCCGAGGATGCAGGATGCATGCCTGCAGGGTTGGGTCATCAGCCGTGGCAGCGCTGTCTGTCTCTCCCACACTGGTGGGGCGTTGAGACGGTGGAGTGCCTCCCACTTGGCGGGGGCTCCAGCAGACTGATTCCGAGAGTCGCTTTCGTCGCTCCGTCTCTCTCGCACTCGTGGGGCGCCCCGTTCGGGTGCGAGAGAGACAGAGCGGCGAAAGCGACTCTCGGAATCAGTCTGCTGGGCCACGGTCCAGGGAGCAGGAACAGCAGCCGCAGCGGCACTAGCAGTGCCCTCGCGGTGAGACGCGTGGCACGGCGTGGCACGGCGCGGCACGCCGCACAGGGCGTCTACCATCCGGCCGCGCTGGCTGGCCCCGGCCGGGCAGACGTCACTTTGACTCACTTTACGGCGACTGCGCACATTGTTGTGGCTCTCGTTCCTCCGTGCGAGTTGTGAGTGTGTGCGTGTGGGGCTGCGCTCAGCATTGCTTGTTCTGCCCCTGATCCTGCCGGATCCACTGTCCGTGTGCATGAGTCTGCGGCTGTGTGGGTGCTCCTATCAGCAGACAATGGTCTGTGTCTGCGCGCGCAGCACGCCCCCGACAGCCCCCCGCCCTCACCTAGGGGCGCGCGGGGGCGGGGCTGTCTGATTCTTCCACCCGTCCTATTTTACCCCACTGTATTTGTAATGCCCTCGATCGGCAAATCAGCCGCTCTCTCCCTCCCCCTCTCTCTCTCTCTTTAAGCCACGGGGGACTTGGCGGCGCTCAGGGGCCGAACGCTGCGCGCTTCGAATGTCGCCATACCACGGGGCACTGAATATTCAAACCAGCAGCCCCCCCCCCCCCCCCGGGCTCCGCCTGTCTACTTCCGGCCGGCGTGTGGACTCTGTCCGGCCGCATGTAGTCGATGTAGTCGCAGAGCCACCCCTCCGTTCCATCAAAAAATTGACAGCAGTTCCGCGCCCTGCTCCGGGGGAGGGGGAGGGGGAAGGGTTCTGCCCCGGTCGGTCGCGATAGTCAAGCGCCATTTCCGGCCCCGAGTATGGCTTTGCGGGTGGCGACCGTAATCTGGCCTGCTCAGCGCCGACTGCCCCCCTCCCTTTCCCACGGCTACGGCGCGGTCAGCTAATTAAGTTGGCCAAGTTTGGCGCAAAGCAAACTTGACTATGTTGTCAGTGCGCAAGTTTTGTGCTGGCTTAGGGCTGCGGCGCACGGCGGCACGGCGCACGCAGCGACCGGGATAAAACGGCGCCGGATTCACATTCGCTGTGCTCGCCTTGCGGTCGGCGAGGCTCGGCGAGGCTGGTGTTGTCGGTACTGTTGGCACCCTTGCATCAGCGCCACCGGAACCGTCCCCACGCACAGTGGGCCAGAGGACCAGTGAGGCGGTCTAAGTTCTAGATGCGTTTTGAGCTCCAGAGTCGCGAAATGGGACTCGAACCAGAGGTGGCGGTCTCCTGGGCCACTGTGCCACGCCTGCCAACCTAGGCAACCTGCCCCGTTGGTGATCGCGCGGGCTCCCGCGCTCGGTTCGCAGCCCTCGCAGCACGACGCTATCACGCCGCTCCGTCTCTCTCGCACCCCGTGGGCGTCCCGAGGGGGTGCGAGAGGGACAGAGCGAGGTGCGCTAAGTCATCAGACTTTAATTACGCGCGCGGCCGTCCCGCGGGGCCGCCGCCATGGCCGCCACCGCCGCCCTCTTCCTCCTCGCGTCGTCCGTCGTCCTTGGTCCTCGGCGCCGCCTCTACAAACTCCGCAAACTCGACGCAAATGGAGCTAATTAAGTTAGACAGGACAAGTTCCATAACAGGATCGCTTTCGATGTCCTGCGCGGCCCGGGCCGGGCGGCGGGGGACAGTCGCGCGCCTTTCCCCTTTTCCCGCCAGAAACGGCAATGGCGTCCGATAGCGGCACAGCGTGGCACAGCAGCGCTCAATGGCGCAGTTATCGCGGCCGGTCCCCTTTTTATTCAGAGTGCGTATCGACTGATAAGTGGCGAGCAGCTGTCCTGCAGCAGCGCGCCACCGCCGCCAGGGTCGCCGTCGAAGCACCTTCGACGCTCTGTCTCTCTCGCACTGGCGGGCCGTCCCCCGGGGCCCGCGGGGGTGCGCGGGAGGCAGCGCGTCGACACCGTCCGCGGCGTTGGGAAGCACACTGTCACCACGTCGCGGAAAGTTTCCCGGGCACGCAATGAGTGTTGATCCCGCAGCGCCGCGGAGCCGCGGACGTCACAGGCAGCGGCCGTTGCGCCACAGCCCGCCATGGCCCATGGCCCACGAATGCGTCACCGACATTGAAAAGGCAAAAGGAAAAAGCAGCTCGACCGCGATTCGCAATCTCCCCGAGTTTCCGATTAGTTTTTCCACGCTCTTCAGTGTTTCCGGGGCGGTGGCTTGGCGTGGTGATTCTGTTTTCTGTCCGACTTGCGCGCTGACTGACGTCGTCGCTTTTGTGTTTGCAGGACCCCTAGAGCGTCGCCCTTCGCCCTGGACCAAGACGAGGACCTCGACGTCCTCCAGGACTCACTGCGGCCCCTTCTCTCCGGCAGCAAGTGCGGCCACGCATCTGCCGCTGCTTCGGCCATCTGGCAGAAATACGGAATACACGACATCGGCCGACATCGACCACCGCGCGGCCCTTCATGTTCATGTTGATGGGCCGAGGACGCCGAGGACGCCGAGCACCTCTCGGCCTAACAAGCCGGCCAGGCAGCCGAGGAAGGGCCAAGGACGCCGAAGGACGCCGAAGGGTCGTCCCTCGCCTCCTTGTCATTCTCGTGTCCGGTTGTACATTTCACTTACTGGACGGAGAACTGATAAGGGCGCGTGGGATCCCTGCTTCACCACTACTTCCACAGACTTAACCACGCCTCTCTTCCTGGTGAACCGATGAGGGCGATCCCTGCTTCACCACGCCGCGCGGCCGTTGGCGGCCGCCCCTCCCCGTGACTTCGGCGGCGCCCTAAAATGTAGTCTGGTTAGACCAGTGGTTCTCAACCTTAGGGTCGCGACCCCAAGCGGGGTCGCGAAATTTTTTTAAGGGGTCGCGGCGATGCTGGGGTCGTGTTTTAGGCTGATTTTAAGCAGCCACTGCGTCTGATCCGAGGCGGGCATTTTGCTCCCTCAACGGGCAGTTGGTCTTTGGACCTTCCTTTAGCATGCCTTTGTTACGGAGTGCAATTATCAGTCTTAGTTTGGGAGCAGTATTGTCTCAAAGTTGGCCGAAACGCTCAGAAATGTCTATGAAAAATCGTGTTTTGGGCCGATTTTAAGCAGCCACTGCGTCTGATCCGAGGCGGGCATTTTGCTCCCTCAACGGGCAGTTGGTCTTTGGACCTTCCTTTAGCATGCCTTTGTTACGGAGTGCAATTATCAGTCTTAGTTTGGGAGCAGTATTGTCTCAAAGTTGGCCGAAACGCTCAGAAATGTCTATGAAAAATCGTGTTTTGGGCCGATTTTAAGCAGCCACTGCGTCTGATCCGAGGCGGGCATTTTGCTCCCTCAACGGGCAGTTGGTCTTTGGACCTTCCTTTAGCATGCCTTTGTTACGGAGTGCAATTATCAGTCTTAGTTTGGGAGCAGTACTGTCTCAAAGTTGGCCGAAACGCTCAGAAATGTCTATGAAAAATCGTGTTTTGGGCCGATTTTAAGCAGCCACTGCGTCTGATCCGAGGCGGGCATTTTGCTCCCTCAACGGGCAGTTGGTCTTTGGACCTTCCTTTAGCATGCCTTTGTTACGGAGTGCGATTATCAGTCTTAGTTTGGGAGCAGTATTGTCTCAAAGTTGGCCGAAACGCTCAGAAATGTCTATTAAAAATCGTGTTTTGGGCCGATTTTAAGCAGCCACTGCGTCTGATCCGAGGCGGGCATTTTGCTCCCTCAACGGGCAGTTGGTCTTTGGACCTTCCTTTAGCATGCCTTTGTTACGGAGTGCAATTATCAGTCTTAGTTTGGGAGCAGTACTGTCTCAAAGTTGGCCGAAACGCTCAGAAATGTCTATGAAAAATCGTGTTTTGGGCCGATTTTAAGCAGCCACTGCGTCTGATCCGAGGCGGGCATTTGCTCCCTCAACGGGCAGTTGGTCTTTGGACCTTCCTTTAGCATGCCTTTGTTACGGAGTGCGATTATCAGTCTTAGTTTGGGAGCAGTATTGTCTCAAAGTTGACCAAAATAGTCACAACGGTTTTTCAAAGACACTTGCGACCGTTTTGATCGACTTTGAGACAATACTGCTCCCAAACTAAGACTGATAATCGCACTCCGTAACAAAGGCATGCTAAAGGAAGGTCCAAAGACCAATTGTCCATTGAGGGAGCAAAATGCCCGCCTCGGATCAGACGCAGTGGCTGCTTAAAATCGGCCCAAAACACGATTTTTCATAGACATTTCTGAGCGTTTCGGCCAACTTTGAGACAATACTGCTCCCAAACTAAGACTGATAATTGCACTCCGTAACAAAGGCATGCTAAAGGAAGGTCCAAAGACCAACTGCCCGTTGAGGGAGCAAAATGCCCGCCTCGGATCAGACGCAGTGGCTGCTTAAAATCGGCCCAAAACACGATTTTTCAAAGACACTGCTGACCGTTTCGGCCAACTTTGAGACAATACTGCTCCCTAACTAAGACTGATAATCGCACTCCGTAACAAAGGCATGCTAAAGGAAGGTCCAAAGACCAACTGCCCGTTGAGGGAGCAAAATGCCCGCCTCGGATCAGACGCAGTGGCTGCTTAAAATCGGCCCAAAACACGATTTTTCAAAGACACTGCTGACCGTTTCGGCCAACTTTGAGACAATACTGCTCCCTAACTAAGACTGATAATTGCACTCCGTAACAAAGGCATGCTATAGGAAGGTCCAAAGACCAGTTGCCCGTTGAGGGAGCAAAATGCCCGCCTCGGATCAGACGCCGTGGCATGTTAAAGGAGGGGTCCCGTGGGGTCGCGAAATTTTTCCTGGGGGTCGCGGAAATTTTTGGCTTTAAATTTGGGGTCGCGAGCCGAGAAAGGTTGAGAACCGCTGGGTTAGACTTTGAATGATGGCGGCCGTGTCGCCGAGCCGGGGGTGGCGGTGGGGCGGGGCTGGGGGTCGTATACTTGGATGTACTCGGGGGATGGGCAAGTGTCTCCCCTGAGCCCGTCCGCCGCGCCACGCCGCCACGCCGCCGCCGGGCCCGGCTCTGGGGACGCATTGATGGTCGTGGAGGCTTGTACGGCGGCGGGGGTGGCGGGGCCGAGGACGGGGCGGGGCGGCCGCCGCCACTTTTGAGAACGCATGTCAAATTACACGCGATTTCTTGCTTGGCGGCGCGGTGGCGCGGCGGGCCGGCGGGGCTGCGGGAGGCGAAGGGGTGCGGCAACACGAACCCACTCAGTCCCTGCTCCGCTTGCTCCCACGCCATAAATCGAACCCTGTTCCGCTGATTATGTCGCGAAAAATATGTGTGCTCTGTGGTGGGTGTGCAATAAACTTGTGTTTTCATGTGACGTCGCTGCAGTGTCTCTTTATTCGCCCCTTTCACCTACATCACGCACACAAACAGACAGAGACACAGACCGAGAGAGCGAGAGAGAGAAAAGACAAAGTGAAAGACAGAGACGCGGCACGCGCCTCTGTACTGAACTCCCTTTTCGCGGAGGTCATGAAGGCCCTGGGGCTGGAGGGCTGCAGGGCTGCAGAGGCATCCATCCAGGGATGAAGTCGGCCGACTCGGCGACTCCGCAGGAGATGAGCGCTACGCTGCCGGCGGCCAGGCAGGCCAGGCAGGCGAACGTGCGCGTGGCTTATGATAAATTCACCGAGTTCTTTGTGTCGCTCTCGAGGCGGAGCGCCAAGTCGAGTTGAGTTGGCCTCGCCGTGGAACTGCGGAGAGGAACTCTGCGGGCGAGGCGGCGGGGCGGCTCCGACTCGAGCATCAAGCCCCTGTCCGCCCCACCTGTCGTCACGGCCCCGCTCAGGTCCATTTTTCCATTTTCCGCGCCAAATTAGATCGGGATTCGGACCGCCGCGCCGGCCTCGGGCCTCGAACCTCGGCAGCGCGACTCCCCGCCGGCCTTTGAACTGCAGACTGGACTGATTCCGAGAGTCGTTTCCGCCACCGTGCCTCTTTCGCACCTACAGGGGGACACACCACGAGTGCGAGAGAGAGAGCGACGGAAACGACTCTCTGAGCCCGTCTGCTGCGCGACGCGCCGTCCGTCCATCTCCCATTGCGGTCCGCCTGCAGGGGGCCTCGCCCTGCTCCTGGAGTCCCTGGGGGCGGACGAGGGCCTCGAGTTGTACGGCTGGAACCGCTGGAACCGCAGCCGAGTGAGGCTAGTAAGGCCCCCCGCCCTCCGCCGCCTCCTCCGGGCGCGGCGCGTGGCGCCCTCTCTCCCTCTCTCTCTCTCCCTCTCTCTCTCTCTCTCCCTCTCTCTCTCCCTCTGACGTCCGGCTCCGGAGGTCCGCAGGAAGTCCCCGGGAAGTGCGGCGGGGCGCGCGCCGCCTCCCCGGCCCCGTTTCGGCCGCGCCGCGGCGCTAATTTCTCCTTCCCCCGGCACTCGAAGGAGAGCGTCGTCCCGACGGCGACACGCCCCCGCCGCCCCGCCGCCTCGGCGCGCGGATTGCCACACTGGCTGAAAAACGGCAGTGCGAGTTCCTCGAGTTCCTCATGCCCGTGATGAGCCGCAGTCGTAAAGGCCGCTTGAGCAACAAGGCCGAGGGGTGGGGGTAGTTTGGCAAGCCGCACGGGGTGGACGGGGAGGGTGGGCGTCCGGCACCACTTACAGCACTCCGGAGCCGTAAACCGGTCCCACCTGGACCGCACCCCCCCCCCCTCCCTCCCGGCACAGCACCTTTCCCCGTCTCCTTATATTGCTTGTACGGCGAGTCGTAAAGAGAGCGGCCTGCCCCTCCCCCGCCCCTCCCCCTCGCTCAGCGTCTTACATAGCTCGATATAGGGCGATCATCAATTAGTGGCGACGCACGCCGGCTAGCCAAACACAATCATGGGGCGCCTGGGGCGGGGTGGGGCGGGGCGTGGTGGGGTGGGGCGGGGCGGGGCGGGGCGGGGCGAGTGGCCGGCCGGACACGCCTGCAAAATGCGGACACAGGGCCTTACTGCCCTCGAAGACTTTTAGGACGCCGCGTGGCAGTTGGGCTGCCTACCCGCACGGCGCTCCCCCCCCCCCCCGGCCGGGTCCGAGATTCGTGCGTGGCGGACGGCGTACTGCGTGTCCGGTGTCTTGGCTGTCCGGCACGGCCGACTAGACTCGGGTCGCCGCTGCGCTGCTGCCCGCCTGTATTATTCACGTCATTTGGTCGAGACCGCCGGCCGAGCTGCCCCGGCATGGCGGCGACACTGCCAGACAGCCAGCATGCCAGCGACAGGGCCCACACCGTGTTGCCGCCTTCCCTCTGAAGGCGAGTTCGAATCCCGGCGAGGCTTAGGGTTGTTTTTACTCCCCCGGTGCTTTTCTTTTGCCGCTGGGGCTCCATATATTGGGATGGGAAGCCGGAGCCGGGCCGCAGGTGCGTCGGGCGCGTCGGGCGGCTCGCGGTGTAGTGGCGGTGGCGCACCTTGCGCCGTCTCTCTGTCTCTGTCGCACTCATCGGGCGGCCCGCGCGGCAGGGAGAGAGACAGAGCGACCAAACGAATCGCTCGGCTGGTGGACGGACGACGAACGGTTGGAGGGGAAAGGGTAGTCGGGTCGGGGGTCTCGGCGCCGTCTTGAAGACACAAACACTCGCACTCTACTTCTCTTTCTTGCGCCCCTGCCGTCTGCCCCGGCTCGCTCTGGCCCTCGCTCTCGCCGCCGCCTCCACCCTTGCGCTGCGGGCCGAGTCCGGGAGTCGTTCTCGTCGCTCCGTCTCCCTCGCGCCTCTATGGCACGCCGCACGAGTGCGAGTGAGACAGCGACGAAAACGACTCTCGGAGTCGGTCTGCTGCTGCGCCGCGGCCTCGGCCGGGGTCTCGTCGCGCGGCCCTCCCGCGGGGAGGCCGGCCTCGGCCCGACGGCCCCGGCTCCCCACGACGCCGGGATGGCCGAGGTCTCGGGGAGGGAGGC